TCCTGGGGAGAGGGATGTGCTCAGGCCCTGCTCACCCCGGGCCCAGCCTCGGGCTCTCGTCGGGCCGGCGGCCATTAGCCTCCGGTGAGGTGGCTGCTCCCCCGGCCTCTCCCTCATCCCCAAGCAGCAGGTTTGGGTGTGTCTGTGTCTGAGGCCCGTCCTGTGTTTCCTCTTGGTGGCTCCAGGGCCCAGCAGCTAGAACCTGCGGTGAGGGAACCTGCGGTGAGGGGACCAGCAGAGGGGCCAGCATTTACCCTCAAACAAGACCTTAGGCCGAATCCGTTCTTTTCCTTCCATTCCCTCTGCCCTCCCCTTGTGGAGCCCCTTCCTGTTCCTCATGCCCCGAGGGCTGGGGAGGGCCTTTGTGCGGTGACCTGCTCCTTAAGGCCCACCCCTGGGGGCAGTGACCCCAACCCGAATGACACCGGTCCCTGCTGCTGTGCTGCCACCTGCTGGCGAGACGGCAGACGGCGCAGGCAGCCCCGAGGGGCGGCAGTGCATCCCTCCTGTCAGCCCTGTGCCAGGATCTGTCTTCTGCACCCATCACCCACCAGCAAACCGACTGGCCCGTGTCCCTTTTCCTGGCATCGTTTTCTTCCCGGTGGCCATTGTTAAACACAAACCCATGTGCCAGGGACCGTCCACGCCAGGCGAGCAGAGGCCTTCACCCCCATGTCGGGTCTTCAGGGCATGGGGTGGGGGCGGGGGGGCTGTTTCCTGGAGAGACTTGTGCAGAGAGCAGGTGACGTGGGACTTCAGAAGACCTTGTCTGTGGGGCTCTCTTCTCGCCCTGTACCCCCCCCCCCCCCCCAATCCCTGGGACTCCCTCCCTCCAGCCAAGAGCTTGTTTTTCCATCCGGAATCCCAGCCACCCGGGGGCACACCGCCCCCCCCCCCCCGCCCCCGTGAGGAGTGACCCCCTGTCCTTTCTCCGCAGTGGGCTACGGCTCCTGGTTCGAGCACGTGCAGGAGTTCTGGGAGCACCGCACGGACTCCAAACGTGCTCTTCCTCAAGTATGAAAGACATGCACCGGGTGAGTGTGCGGCGCCGGGAGCCAGCGGGAGAGCCTGGGTGGTGGGGGCCCCGCCCCCCGTGGTGGGACTGACTGGAGCGTCCGAGAGCCCCCCGGCCTCAGGTGTGCCCAGACTGGTCCCCCTTTGCCCACTGGAAGCCCCGTTTACCAGAAGTCCTCCCTGAACAGTGTGGATGGGCTCTGTGGCCACGTGAAACGACTTACGATGACACCCATTATCACTACCGGAGGCTGATGGACATTAGTAAGAGTTAAGTTCCTATGTCTCATCAGTGCTACCGTGGAACAAAACTGAACACAGGGATGTTGTTATGCAAGGACCGGCTGTATCCCCTGGGAGCGAGTGGCGGCCGCGGGGAGCCGCGGGAGGGCTGCGTGGGGAGCAGGTGTGCACGCAGCTCCGGGACCCATCGCTGGGTCAGGCCGCTCCACAGTCAGGAGCAGCGCGCTGGGCCTGCTGTGAGTGGATCCGGCCTCGGACCCAGCCAGCTCCTTCCTGCTGAGGGCAGGCAGCCTGGGCCTGTCGGGAGGATGGGGAAGAAGAGAGTGAGCCGGTGGGCTTTTACTTTGCTGCCGTCTTACAGTGGCCACAGCGACATCACGCTCCTGTCTGCTTCACATTCCCGAGGACCTGGGTTTGAATCCCGGAGCTGCCGCTTGAGAGTGGTCCTTGGGCCACGTCCCAACCCGGGGTTTTCGTTCCACTTGAGGCCCGTCTCAGACTGGGCTCAGGACCAAGTACGGCCCCTCGAGGGGTCCAGCCAGCGGTCAGTAACGGCACCACCTCTGCTCTTACCTTCCAGGACCTGGTGACGATGGTGGAGCAGCTGGCCAGGTTCCTGGGGGTGTCCTGTGACAAGGCCCAGCTGGAGTCGCTGATCGAGCACTGCCACCAGCTGGTGGACCAGTGCTGCAACGCCGAGGCCCTGCCCGTGGGCCGGGGTACGCGCCCTTGCCGCCCCTGCCTCTGCCCAGGGCCCGTGGCCCCCCACCCCCGCCCCACCTCAGTGTCCCGCTGCCCGTGTCTTGCTTCTCCAGAGCCCTCTGCTGTGCGTGGGGCGCAGCCACCTGGAAGCTGGGCCGTGCAGCTGTTTGCATTGTGACGGAGCAAACGGTGTCTCGGTTCACAGGAGGGCCCCCCGGGCACGTGCCAGGTTCTGTGGGCACGATGTTCTCAAGCAGGTGTCTCCCCAGATGGCCCCACAGAGCCGAGCCCGGATGGTCCGGCTATGAAATCGCAGAGCCCACGTGTGCAGATGGATTCCCCAACCTGTGGGCCGGGGAGGGCGTGAGTTCCCGTGAGGAAGTGCCGGTTCCTGCACGCACCAGGAGTGCCCGCGGCAGTCAGGCAAGCCCGGCCGGGCAGGGGGTGAGAGCAGAAAGCGCAGGCCCCGGGCTGGCTGCTCCGGGAGCTGCTGTGGGGCAGGCAGCAGTTTGAGATGGAGGAGATGCTCCAGGCAGGAGTCCTCTCCAGGCCCCGCGGCCCTCCGTGTCCTCAGAGGCGGTTTGACTGGGGAGCGGGGGCAGGAGAGCCCCGTGGTCCCCAAGGGATTGCGGTGGCCGTGGGAGAGCAGGGAAAGGGGCACAGCCTGGTGGTGGTGACCTGACGCTGGTTCCTGGGTGGTGAGTCTGGAGCTTTCTCAGGAGACGACGGTGCTTGAGGGAAGGGGAAGAGGTGCCATCTGATCCACGGGAGACCCTGGGTGGTGGCGGAAGGGTGGGCTCCCTCACAGCTGCCACGCCCTGGGGAGGGGCCTTAGGTCAGGCTCTGAGCTTGGACAGCCTTGTCCTTTCTCTGCAGATGCAGAGGGCTGGCCGTGGCTGCCGGGGCTCCCGGGCTGCTCTGAAGGTCAGGGGCACAGTGCTCTCCTGTAGAGGCAGAGCGGCCTGCTTTTCCAGGAAGAAACAAACCGCAGCGCCTCGCGTTTGTTTCCTGGCTGCATCCTCACACATGTTTATGGTTTACATTTTTTTTGCTCCTTTTTAGTTTTGCATTTGCTCTGTTGCCTGTGGGTGTGACCGTCCCTGTGTCCCCCGTGGTTCGTGTGTGTGTGTCCCAGGGCTCCTTCCATGGATTTGCTTTGTCTTGTCGCCTTGGTTTTGCTTTATTTCAGTTCTTTGATTTTGTTTTCTTTTAGCACATTGCCTCTGTGCTCGGAAGACCTCCTTGCGCTGGTGAGAATGCAGGGCCTTGAGTAGCCAGCTGCATTGCTTAGATTTGATTCATATCCCAGCATAAATTCACTGTCTTGATTCCAAATCCTAAACCAGGTGGGTGACTCCTCTGATGCGCGCTCAGCTGCCTCAGCTGAGAAAAACAATCATGGAAAAGTTATTTATAGTGGCTTGGTCTACAGGCTCCTGATTTCCTCCCTTGGGTACCATTAACGGGGAGCAGAACAGTTCCTCTTGTTTTCCTCCTCCCCACACTGACGTAATCTTCATGGCCAAAGAGGAACCCTGTCCTGTTGGGGTGTGAGCTCCGCACTCGCAGGGGTGGGTTGGTCCCGAGGTCCTGCCGGGGGCGAAGGAGGGGTGTTTGCTCCGACCTCGAGCTCTGATCTCGGAGATGCTGAAAGGGTTCTGAGCAAACATCTTAGTCCCCGAGGCCGTTCCCGAAAAGCACGGCGACAGCTGGCGGGTCACAGCTCCCCAGCTGGGAGGTCTGCACCCCTCTCCTGGCATCTTCACGGTCACCGTTAACGTTTTATTTTTATTTGTTAATCCTCACCCAAGAACATTTTTTCCATTGATTTTTTTAGGAAGAGTGGAAGGGAGGGAGGGACGGGGAGAGATAGAGAGAGAAAGATCAACTGGTTGCCTCCTGCTGGCTGGCGCCCAGACCGAGGCTGGGTGTCGAACCTACAACCCAGATATGTGCCCTTGATCAGGAATCCAACCGAGACCCTTCAGTGCCTGTGTCAACACTAACTATTTAGCCACACCAGCCAGGGCACCATTAACCCTTTGAGTGGCACCAATATCCTAGGAACGATGCTAAAATTGCCAAGGCATTTTTGCTGATTTTACAGCAGTTTAGGAAAAAAATTATGAATCGCAAGTAAATGAAGTTTCATATTCAAAAACTTAAGGAAACCTTTACTACATTGACATATTTAGCAATATCCTCATCACTAATAAAAGCAGACTTAGAACTGGACGCCATTTCGAAGCTTTGATAGCGCTCCCGGCACTTTTGGTGAAAGACAGGAGGAGAGCGATTGCGCTCCCCGGCACTTAAGGGGTCAATATTTGTCCAACCAACTGCAGCTGTTGTAGTTGACAGGAAAGTGGGTGGGTTCTGCAGTTTGAGTTTTTTTGGGCTCTGTCTCCCAAGCCTGCTCCTCAGTCTGGGGCTCCGTGCTCCTGCTTGGTGGCCAGGGTCACAGTTTTTGACCGCCTGCTGCGCTGCAGGCCCGGCGGCCAGGGGCGGCCCTGACTCGCTTGGTGTGGAGTCGGGAGTCTGGCTGCCGCACACGCTCTGCATCCAGGCAGGAGAGCTGGCGGGCACCGTGATGGCCATTCCTCCCGGGCTGCACGCACAGGCTTCTCAAAATCTCCCTCCTTGACCTGGAGGCCGCCTGTCGCCTCAAGGGTCTGCCTTTGGATGGTGTTCCCTTCTCGCCGTCCGCAGCAGCAGGGGCCCCTTGGTGGGGCTGTTGAGCCGTGAGTGGGGACATTCGGAAACCCCACTTCCCCACGGTCCACAGACCTGGCCACACTCCCTGTGCTGAGAATCACACTCAGAGCCTGGGTGCGGGGTCATATCCCCCCCCCCCCAACCCCGCGGCCGGGGCAGCCTGCAGCTCAGCTCCGTGCATTCGTGGCTCTGGGCCACCCCGCGGGAAAGGACCCCAGGATGTCAGACTCGGGGTCCAGCCTGTCCGGTTCAGAGGGCCTGCCCGGCCCCCAGGCCAGGTCCGAGGGTGCAGGCTTCCTGTGCTTGGGTAGCTGCCCGACAGCGCACACGTGCAGCACGCTCTCTCGTTTGCTTTCAGGGCGCGTGGGGCTGTGGAAGGACATCTTCACCGTGTCCATGAACGAGAAGTTCGACCTGGTGTACAAGCAGAAGATGGGGAAGTGCGACCTCACGTTTGACTTTTATTTATAAGCGCAGCCCTGGCAACAGCCCTGCATGCTCGCGGTCCCCAGACGCCACTAGCTACGGTCCCGTACACGCATTCGTTACTCGCTGGACAAGCCCCGGCCGCGGTGTGGCCACGCGGGGAGGGGGGCGCGCGGGAGGTGGGAGGGGGCTGCCGCCCGGAGCAGCTGTCCTGCCTTCGGATCTGAAGTCTGTCCGTGTCTGATACAAACATTGTCAGGGTCGCCGTTCCGTTCCAACGGCGGCACCGTGAACACAAAGCCTGTAACGTATGCAGCCAGACGCCTGCCTCTTACAGCCCGCATTCCTGCCTGCGTTTGATAGAGCTTCCCACTGGAGACCCAACAAGTGTCAGTACGAACCAAACCAAAGTTCGCTCCCAAGGGCACCCCGGGGTGAGCCACACCAAACGGTAGACGGATCTCAGGTTGCAGTTTATTTTTGTAGTTTTCTCCTGTGAGGCAGCCATTCTCACCTGGTCTGGGAGGAAGGTGAGGGCTCGATGAGGTGGGGGCCGAGGGGAAGCTGTCCCGGTGGCGCGCAGTTCTCTGTCACCTGGAAATGAGGCAGGAACTGCCCACCGGGCGTTCTCAGAGGGGATGCCCCTCGGCCAGAGACTCGCTGGGCGGAGCCAGCGGGACACTGGGGGGAAGCCTGCCCCAGGCCAGCGATGGGACAGTCCACCCGGAGACACTGGGAGTCTGAGTCCTCGTCACCGGAAGCCTGCTGCTGGGGAAGCAGATGCTCCGCAGGGAGTTCCTGGGGCTCCCGGTCCTGAGCCTTCAGGTGGTTCCGCCACCGGAGGCGCTCTGCCCTGGGATGCCATGTGGCAGGGTTAGCGCCCTGTGCTCAGCCCCAGTTGGCAGTCTCACCCTGTCCCTGTCCCCGCACCTCCGTGTCCCCGGGGGAAGAGAGGCGGAGTCTGTATCCCCGTTCCTCCCCGTCTCCCCATCACCTGGCCCACCTCTGGCTGGAGGAGGGAGAGGCGGGGTGGCCTGTGGCTGGGAAGTGCCCTGAGAGGTGGCCGGGCCGCTGCTGGAGGGGCTGTCCTGTGCTGCGTCCCTGAAAGGTGTTTTACTGTGAAGGCGAGTGGCTGGGACCGGCAGGTGGTGCGTGGCGGTGAGCGTGGGCTCGGCGGCCCCTTTTCCGCGCATCCGTGAGGGAGGCTGCTGTCTGTGAAGTTTCTTTTCTATTTTTCTATTTCAGTGCTGTATGGACATGAGACTTCTGTGCTTGCTTGCATCTTTAATAAAGACACGTCCCAGGCCTGGTGTCCAGCGTGTGCTGTGGGGAGGGGCCCCCACGTGATCCCCTCAGCACTTCAGGGCAGCACGAGCACGAGCCCCACGGACACCCTGTCCCTGGGGCTGACCCACAGGGTCACGGGCCGGGTCGGGGTTGGCTGTTCCTCTCGGGCTCAGCGTCCCAAGCGTGGAATTCACCTCGCTCTTTGTCCGTCACCTCTGATACCTTCTGTAAGCGGAGAGGAGAGGCAGGGTGGGGGGAGGGGAACGCCTGGGAGCGATCTGGGGGACGCAGGCGTCACCCTCTGCCTCGGGAGGTCCCGTTGTCAAGGTGGCGTTCCTGGGGTGGCAAGACAGCACTGCACTGTGGAGTCCGCAGCCCGCCTCCTCATCCCCGTGGAAGGAAGTCCGAGCCGTGGTTTATCGGGTAAAGCTGGGCTTTCGGAAACCCTTTACTTCCCGATGGACTGGTTCCTGTCAGTCTCACGTGAGACCCAGACTGACTGGGCCTTTAGAATTGCCCTAGGCCCCAAGTTAGCTTGTGGGCTATCCAGTCTGCTGTGACCCAAACCACAGACAAACACCTAAAGTCAGGAAGTCCAGGGACACCGGTCAATGGGAGGCAGGGGAGGCGGTGCTGGTTGGTGAAACACCTCCGCTAGCCCTGATTGCTTGATACCTCACCTG